GACGCAGCTTCATCTGAGCCATAGTCTAAACTCCTTATAGGGGGGTTATATAGGGGATTATATAGAGTTTAGGGTTTAGGGTTTAGGATTTAGGGTTTAGGGTTTGGGGTTTAGGGTTTAGGTTCTAAACTCCTTAAAGGGGGGTTATATAGGGGATTCTATAGGGGACTACTATAGGGTATATTAAGGGGGATACTAGGAGTTTAGACTATAGTACATCTGAGAACTTCACTTTTTTCAGGCACTGCCTAGGGTCCTATGGTATCATGCTCATCTACCAGGCCCCATGCTTCTTTGGCAGAGGGCTTCTGGTGCGACAGGGCCCACTGCCACAGACGTGGGTCACGATAGATCAAGTCGTAACCTCAGCATCATGTGCAATTTTTCTTCCTGCCTTCAACAACTTGTCTACACGGCAAATTATGAATTGATTGAGTAGCTGATGACCAGTTTCTGTGGGGATGATGGTTCAGCTAGTAACTTAGTGAAGAGAGGGCAAGCTCCTAAACGGAACCGTGATGTTATGGCGGTGACCCCAGCGCCTCCCAGGATCATATGTGCATTGTCGCTGCGTTGTCACACACTTCCCACCTACGGATGCCCCTTCTTCAAACCCATGTCCCAGTGATTGAATGCCACCCGTTGCCTTCGTAAGAGACAATTTTGCGTCACGTAATGCACACAGATGCACCACTAACTGTCACTAAGGTTTATATGCACGACCGCAGCCCTATAGCTTTGTAAGTCCGTGTAAGCAGTATGATCCACCTTTATGTCCATTTCTGATGAATCACCTTCCATTATACAACGCCTTACCCCACCCCGTCATATCAAACATCAATGTATATCTCTTACTGCGGTTCTGATTATCTGATAGTAGGGGGATGGGGTGTTCCAGCTTTTCGGTGAAGAGATTACTCAGGCTCTAGATTTGTCTCGTGCTCAGAAGGCCCAAGCTTAAAAGGTCATCTAGGCTAGACGACCAAGATCTAAACCGTTAGACTCCCAAACCCTACAGCCCTACATCCCTAAACCCCCAACCCGAAGTTTGTCATGATTCATCCTCGCCCCCTAAAACAGTTTATTCTACACGGTGTTGATGATTGGACCCAGATTTTGGATTATATTGCACTAGATCTACATACGGATTATGTGGGGATGATGCTCGCAATCGCAGCTGCTTGCTAAACTAGGGGCCCAACATGTCAAGCAGCACCATATACCTTTTTGATCATCGAAACTCTATAAACCCTAAATCCCTAAAACCCCAAGCTCTAAACTCTGAAGCCTCAACCCTGAACCTTCAACCCTTGAGACCCAGAGCGAAGTCACGGCCCCAGTACAGGCCCCCAACTACCATTTTCGTTATTTTCGGAACCCCAAAATGGCACCCCTACTTCTCGGAAACCATCATGTATGTTCAGGGGGTTTAGGGCTGATGACTCTCGCTCATCCATCTTGAAGTCTTGCCTTTGCTGATGGGAGGCTAGCATGGCCGACCATGAAGCTGTAGAGAGGATCGGGCGGGGCCGGCGCAATCCTAAGAGCAAGCTTTGCAGTGTGGACGCTTACTGGGTTGCTGTTAAGGAACTTGATGTAAGTTACCATGTTATGGGTATATAGTATACACTCAATGATTCAAAGTTTCCTTATAGTATTTGAATTCAAATCCCTAAGCAGCAACCAAGTCAACCATCATGTACATGAAGCTATGCCATCGGATGCGGCATTTGGGCAGTACTCCAATCTCTAAGGAATATGGTAATTTGCAGAATAAGGGGGACTAAAACCGGGACCCGAACAGGTGCCCCTAATTGTGGTAAACCCCCTGATGGTGTGAACCTACCCGCTTACATTTCCCTGACACCCTGGTTCCTTGAGATCAGGTCCCATTTGAGTTGGCGAATGATGTGGGAGTTGAATTTCTGTGAACTGCTTGCTCTTGCTTAAGTGACAATAGGGGGATGAAGAGTAGGACTATCCCGGGACCATATTGGGGGAGTATGTAGGGACTACTTCGAGGATCCACTTGGCATGAGTGGGGGTCGGCATTCGCTGGAAAAAATGCTGTGTCCAACTAACAGACTGACACCAGGCCCTGAAGAAGATGCAAAGACTGAGACAGCTCCCTGTCAGCACGGCCTGTATTAGTTCCTGAGTCTGGATTCAATCTAAGGGCCCTAAGAGCTTTAGGAGCTCTGCCTGCAGCTATGCTTACCCTGCCTCTGGCAGGTATTGACTGAGTATCCGGAGCAGCAGCAGCAGCCGCAGCACTTCAAGTCGCTCAATCCGATGATCATTCGAACCGTCTGCAGTTCTACATCACCACTCTCAAAGTCTTGAGCTGAGGAGCGTGTATCTTGTGTACCGCACTGAGCCGGATCGCCGGCGCTTGAGGGCAGAAACGATGTCGTCGTTGCCCATCTCTCCGTCGCCTGACAAAAAAGAGAGCTGGATTTCTTGCTTAGCAAAGGAAAATGTACTTTCTTCGGTCATGTCGTCGAACTAAGAAGAGGGTCTGGCAAACAAAAGCGTCTCTTACAAGTGCACACGTGAGCTAGGAGCTAAGTGGGAAAGGCTATAGCGTAGGCGGGTATTAACAGGGTGAACACCCTCAACAAGCTTCGACACTTTGAAGTTTGGCTGTTGGTCTAAAAAAAGGTGGCAGGATGAATGCAAGGATCGCTGTAAAATCTGTGAAGAAACCCGAAAATTTATCTAGAAGAATATGCAGGAGGCTGAGACACACAATTTCCATCTCCAGAGGTTTCACGGGATTGAGGCTTTAGTGGCTGCAGCTCGGCCCACGAGTATGATGGGCCTGAGCGTAAGAAGAATATTTTTCGTCCATAACTAGAAGTCAGAGGAACTACTTCAAGAAACAACACAGGAGATCCCCGATTTCAGAGTATCACATTCCAATGGCTCAGTACTTCGACTTCATATTGAGGTAGAGCCAGGCTGACTTTGAGCGCATGATGAACAAAAGCATCTGCGCCGCCTGTCCATCCAATCACCCAGATCGGCAGACCTTCCTCAGTTAACTGGGGTACCATAAGCACCCTTTAGGATATGTACAGGTTTGCGCGCAGATTATGACGGCCCTATTCTGTTGGGAACTGAGAAACGCCTAACTTCCTCCACAACCTGCAAAGGTAGTTGTAGGTCTGGTGGGGTTTAGGATCCAGCGCCAGCTCATGATTACCAAGACAAGACCTGACTTCTCGCATCTTTGTCTTGTACTTGATGACAGGCAGCAGGCTCCGAGGAGCCACAGGAGACATGGGGAGCTGCAACAGCAACAGCAGCAGCAGAAACATCGCAAAAAGTACCTTGCCGCAAGCAAACGTGGAACCCGATATGGTACCCTGTAATAACCACGAGCCCTTCAACAATGGCCCACGTGAGGTTCGATGGCAATTTGAAAGCAAGCACATTATTTGCTGGCGCGAGATGCCAAGCTTTCCGCCAGCTCGGGCGGTGCAGGGGCACAAACCACACTCACCTCGGAGCAGCCACGGGCTACATTAGGCGTAGGGAAATTCTTTGCAAGGGGTCCGAGCGAGGCCCCATAATGGTAGAGTAGATTCTGAATCTCACCCCGATACTCTAAAAGCACTCGCGGCAAACTTTCATATCTTAAAGCACAGGCCCCATGGTTGACGGCATCTAAGAACAACGTCTGACCTATAGCCACATTCTCCTATGCATTTGACACCCATATCTCTGCTAGCAAACATGATCCGTATGCTATTCCTGGTTCTCCTTTGGAAAGCAGGATATGGGTCCTTCTCAAAACGCCATGCCCTACAGTACATATCCCTGGCATCCCTAAGGCTTCATGTGTTGCTCCCAGGGATGCTAAGGGGCCGAAGCCCACAGCGACGGCCGAAGCGATGCAAAGTGCCTGGGATGGCTGTAGACTTGACTGAGAGTACATATGGATACAGAGACAGAAAGGGCTTTAAGTTTACGATTTCCCGAAATAAGAGTCCCTTCTGAGGGACCCATGCTCATGACCTCATGGTCTCGCACGGGTCCGCATGGCTAGTACGGAATGGGGTCCTGGGTTGTAGGTTCTGCTGTAGGGGACAGGTCAACACGGAAACATGTAAATACAAACGCAGAGAGAGACAGAGAGAGAGAGAGAGCGAGAGAGAGACAGAGAGAGAGATAGAGAGAGAGAGAGAGAGACAGATATATGTATATATATATATATATTGGGATGACAGGGACTACTGACTACGTTTCTGCATCAAAAGCTGTAGCTTGTAGGGGCTTTTGGGGATGCTGGGTTTCTACAATACCCGCCCAACCTACCATCATTTCTGAGAGTCTGCCTTAACGCTGTTGCTAAATTCCATGGGCAGGACAACAACCAGTGACAGGGGAGCGGTCTCAGCCAAGACTATACTGTAAATCCATACTTGAGACTTGACAATTCGGCTGCTTTCTTTTGATAGTGCAGTTGTGGGTACGAGTATGGTGTACACAGAGACAAGGAAGCAAGCACATACAGGTCTACCTATGTGTGCGTGTGCGCATGTGCCAGGCATGCCAGTTTTCCTCGTTTTGAAAGGGTGCACTTGTGCCTAGACGGATATGAGCGCCTCAATCACAACCCAGGCCCCACCTCACATCTCCAAAGCCCAACAAGTAAGCAACATGACATAGAACCATTGAGCGATTTCAAGCATTCTTTAGGGTATGTTCCTTGCCGAGAGAGGTGTGATTTTGCCACCTCTCACAAAAAAATCTTCAAACCTCATGAAGCGCTAAGCCCCAGGAGCAAAATACTAAACCCCAAACCACGATCCATGTCATGTAGAAGCTTTTTTTGTAGAACAAGCATTTGCCATATACTGTATATACTATACGGTACTGTTGTTTTGCAGGCTATGAAGGAATAATGCTGGCAACTATTTAGGCCTTCTCGCTATGATCTTTGTAGCTGCACTTCAACTGGCAGCCCCTACTGTTACATACTACAAGGGCCTACATAATTACCTAATTATATAAGGAACATGGAACCAGAATGTTGGTCATTATTTAGGCCCATATAGTGAGCCTCTTCTGTGGTAGCTTCCAACGCTCAATCTACACTCCCCCAAACTAACATGGAAACCCATATAGCCCCATTTTAGAAGGACTGCAGTCTTTGTAGGGCCCTCCTTGGGTTTCCATGTTAGTTTCCGGGAATGTAAATTTCCTTCTCCTTGGCATCATGCAAATCTGCACGCGTTCTTGCCCCTGAAGCGATGTATCCATTTCTTGTCCATTTGATTCTTCTCTGTATTAAGGCTCTAAACTCTACATGTCCCTTTAGCCTTCTTCAAAGGACCCTATACCTTCAAAAACCCTGAACCCCAAAATACACTAAACCCTAAATCCTAAAACTCCTTTCATAAGGCAGCATGCCAAGCGCCAGAACCTCCGGCAGATTGGCCGGTGAGGGACACCCGCGCCTTAGCGCAAAATTCTAAGGCTGCCAAGGGGGAGGATTCTATTGGGATTTCACGGGATATGTTTGAACATTTTTGATATTACCCAAATGTAAATGAATGATGGAGAAGAAAATGGAAGCTACCATTTACGGCCTAGGTCTGCGCGATATTAACCCCAATCACAAAGAATCAGCTGGAAAGGAACTCGGACATGAAATGGAAACTGGGAGCAGAAGGCTGTCAGGGCTTCTGTGATGTAGGGGCCTCTATACGTTCTAATACTAGGGTCCTGGATTCCTTGAATGGTTCTGGTCTAGGATTTGTCATACCCTAAACCCTAAACCAGAATCCACATCGTTAACTCCGTGCTCTCAAGCACGCTCAAACCAAAGTCGACTCTGGTTGAGGGTTTGGTTAGGGTTTAGGGCTTCGAGTTTGGGACTTGGCCTAAGCTTCTGTCACCCAGAAGGGGAAATCCCCTAGTATGTCCCAAAGACGAACACTGCAACCGCTCCCCACCCCCCCCCCCCAAACACCATAAGATCAAAATGGGTAGTTTCCCTAAATAGGGGCCCCTAATATAGACCCCCAAATACGATCATCCTTATTACTATTGTCGCTCCCCAAAAAGGTCACCCTAATTTTTGGAAACCCTAGACCCTAAACCTTATCTATCCCCATATGATAGGGTTATAACCCTTTTGAAGGAACTCCTACTTTAGGGAAACCCTCAAACTTGCCGGTGCTTAGCAAAGAATGAAGAAATTGATCCATAGAGTCGCCCCTCTATGAACTCGAATAAGGGTTTATAGTAGTTTCAAATCTCTTTCCCATTCTCCCTATATCCCTTAGTTCCTATATTTTCATATTATAGTACACAATAATAAATACCTTGCTAAACTGAGGAAAAGCAAAAATCTCATCAAGATCAGCTGGAGAGCCGGGTCTCCGCGGTAGGTCTTCAAGACCTGTCAGCTGGGTTGCTGTTAAGGGACTTACAATAAGTTACCACATGTATATATACATATTTATAGTAAATAACAGGATTTGAGGGTTGTGGCATTAGGGTTTTGGGTTTGAATTAAGTTACCATACTGGGTATATCTCCAGTAAACAACATGTGGTTTCTCTTATAGTAACTTAAACTAAGTGCCTTAACAGCAACACAGTCAGTCAGGCCAAGGTTCCGGGTCGGGTCTTCTGGGTTTTGGTGGACTAGGACCCTAAACCCAAAACCTAGTCCTCCAAGTACCCTTAGGCAGAGCCTAGGCGTGCCTAATAATATGTACCTAAGCCATAGTAGAGATCCAGTTGGAGGGTCCTCATTGATTTTCCACTTGCAATGAAGTGCCGTTAGGAGGCTATGGCTAAGTTAACGGAAGGGAATCTTGTTGAGGCATGGCCAGTCAGATGATTTTCGGCAAGCCATTGACAAAATAGCTGCAAGCACCAGTGACCCAACCCTCCACTGCAGAAACGCTGAGGTCTCGACATGTTTTGTCAGCTGCTCCACCTGCTGTGAGGACCAAGCGGATGGTGATAGGATGGACTTGCTAGTTCATGATGCTGACCAGGGTGGGCCATCATCATGACGATGCAGCAGCAGCAAAAGCAGCAGCAGAACAGACGTTTCTCGAAAGCACCTGCGCAAATAGTCGGAAGGTGGGACGATACCAGCTCTAGCATACTCTTCCTGCAGTGTAAAGAGCGCCCTGCAAAGACCACTGCCCCTTCCAAAGGGGGCTATATTCTGTTTCCTATAATGTTAGCCCTACAGTATCCTATATAGACCCCATACATCCTGAAATGATACATACAAACCTTTATCCCTAAACCCCTACCCTTTTTGAATGGTCTCATGTTGCGCCTGCTGCAGCTTCAGCTTGGTCCAACCCACCTGGTTCGACGGAAGCCAGCCCTGTGGCATCACCTTGGTTATACTTTGAGGGTGAAAAGAAAGTGGGAACTACTATGTTCAATTGAGGGTTTAGGGTCAGGGGGACTTAGTAGGTAGGTTTTAGGGTCAGGGGGACTTAGTAGGTAGGTTAATGACCTCAATGTGCCATATAATAACCCCAATTATCGCCATCATTAACCTACCTTCTACGACCATCTGAACCAAGTAGGAATGTACAGGGGAGATATGGGGGTTATATTACTATATATGGACTTGCTAGGATTTTTGGTTCAGGGCTTCGTGGCCAGAATAAGTAGGATCATGAAGACTCAAATGGGAAAAAATTCCAGAATGACATGGAAACTGGAGTTATGTGGGGTTTCTAGGTCTGAAGGACTTACCTGGATGCTACGCCACTACAGCTATGGGAGGCCGTTGTAGATTTATGGGCTCAACAGTCGATATTGCAGAAAGCATTGCCAACTAGATCTCCATGTAGGCAATTAGGGTTTGGCAGGTGGGTGTAGGCTTTTGGGGCTTAGAAGTTTGGAGGCTTGAAATTTGGGGTTTCAGGGTGTAGTGGTTCGGGGGTGGTCTTTCCAGGCAGCAAAAGCAAACAAGACGGAATTCCTGGTAAACAGAATGATCAGGAACATGTGGCCTTGCTCTATTTGGGTCATTCCCCACCCGCCCAAGAAATAAAGGGGTCTGAGTTTACACCTGGAGCCCTCATCAAATTCAGATAGCTGAAAATTTTGGAAAAGCTTCCCATCCACCCCACAACTCTCACTGAGAGCTTTTCCGGTGGCGCTATGCCTCCATAACCTGAGCGTTCCTGAATCCCAGACCCCAGCATCACCCTTTCCAACACAGGACCACAGAAAAACTTAATGTATCCCCTGTCCCCAATAGCAAACCTCCCACTTCCCAGAAGTAAGCAACCCAATTAGTACCTGTGGTGATCTAAGCCCGGAACCATAAACAACAAGCCAGGGATCCTTCGTAACAGCTTAGAAGCTACGCTGTCATTTAGATACAGTCCAACATCAAATCTCAAGGTGGACCAAAAAATTATCCGCTCCCGCACAACGTTGCCCCAGAATGGTAGTGTTTAACCCTGAAATTCCAAATAGCTAATAATCATATACAATTACTATTACCCCAAACCCAAGTGCACCTAATTACTGGATACTTGGGGGTGGGGTGTTTCGATATTGGGGTGACTGTGGCTTGCTGAGCGGCCGTGATCGCCTGGAAGGTTTCTGCGAAGTCGCACACCGCCATCGGGCTGGCGAGGTCCTCCTCATGTCATGAACCCTATAAGTTGGGTCATTCCCCCTTACAGTAGCTGTTACCACAATGGGTTATAGGAGTTATAAGAACCCCCTTAATAAGGCCCCTTCAAGGACAGTTACTGGGAGGGGGAATGACCCAACCTATAAGTCTGAACCTCAAACCCAAAACTCAACAAACCATAAACCCAAAACCTCAAACCCTAAACCGAGGGTTTCACGTAAACATAGGATCCCTCCTTTGACATGTAATTAATGGCCAACCCTGTTGGAAGACATGTAACCTCCCTCGGTTTGAACGATTTCTTGGGCTAGATCTGGGGTTGAAGAGGACCATCATTTTGTAGCCAAGGCCAACACCCTAAACCTGAAACCGTGTACCCTAAACCGAACCCTATACCTTAAACCCCAAACCCTATATTATACCCTAAACCCATTATCAGAAGCTTTTCCAGCACTGAAACAGCCGGAAGGCTTTGCTATCAGGAGCTCAGATTGTAAGGTTTCGGGTTTATGGAGACTTCAAGGCTTGGTTGCTCTTGAAATGGAAGTAGGACAGCTCGTACGGTCTTGGGTTGAGAGTTTAGGGTGTAGGACAGACGGTTCTGAAATCTGATTTGTTGGGAGTTACAGAGGCTATGGCGTTGCTTCCTGAGCTACCCCACGCGGGTCTCGGGTGAGAGAACCTCTCTTTAGTTTTATAAGGCAACTTGCGAGAAATAGCCAAAAACTCTGGAGTCAGCCATTAGCTTGAGAAGTTTTATAAGGACCCACTCCCTCTCCGAATATGCTTCTTCCTCCTCCTCTTGCTCTTCCTCCTTCCTCTTCCTCGTTCCTCTTCCTTCCTCTTACTCTTACAGACCTCCTACAGGTTTAGGGGGTTTAAGGTCTCAGCACGCAGCACACGTATCGAACTGTAGGTGGGGTCACCTTCTTTGAAGTTCCGAGCAACAGCTATTCGACAGGCTCTGGGTCCAAAGGGTTTAGGGTTTAGGACCAAGCTCAGTATGAATCCCAAAACTCAAGCTCAAGGTTTGGGTTTGGGGTTTAGGGTTCGAGTTTGAACTGGGTTATATAGGGTTGTATAGGGCTACATTGGGGTTAGATTGGAATAATGGAGAAGGAAATGGAAACTACTATAGTATGTCGGGGTTAAGGTTTGGGTTTAGGGTTTAGGGTAGGGTTCCGGGGTTGAATTGGGGTTAAGGATTGCTCCTACTCCTCTTGATCTTGCTCTCAATTTCTCGTACACTTACTCTCTACTCCTGCTCTTCCTCTTGATGTTGTTCTTACTTATCTTTCTCTTACTCCCCAGACCTACTCTACTGTCCACGTGTTCATCCTCCGGCTCCTGGCTGTTACTTTTGAAGAGAGTAACTCCAACGCTTGCTTCTCTGTTTGCTGGTACTTTCCCTGCTTACAAACGTCTTGGGTACTAGGCCTGACCTTTCTAAAACATTGTTTCTTAACAATGTTGATCTTATCACATCGTTTTGTTCTAGGGGGGGCGCCCGTAATACACAGCTGCATGCATGAACAGATGCAAGTTTATGCCTGATGTTGTTGGTAAATGCTAGCAAGGAATACTCTCTGCAAGTCAGTTTTCCTTTTCGGCCCTCATGGCAGTAACACGCCACCTGCACATGCGTACCGCCTGGATGGCATGGGGGTAACAGCCATCCAGGATGGGTCAGGCCCAAGCACTGCACACTCAGTTGCTGCGGTCACACGCGAAGACCTTACGTGGCTGTGGGCATCGCTCCCTCCAATCACGAAGAGTTGGCCGGACAACGCTACGGCCGCACAGCCCCTCCTTGGCGTGGGCATCGGGGACAACACTTCCCAAACACCAGCACTCAGATTTAAGCGCTCGAAACATCCAAGGCGACTTCCTGCTGCATCGCAACCTCCCACAACGTAGAGGTAGCCTGCAGCCCCAACACACCCGCATCCAGCTCGTGGTGTGGGCAAAGGCGGCAATGATCTCCATCCGGCCTCAGGATCCATGGCTTCACACCTGCCAGTCACTTCCCGCGAGCCATGAAATCCACCAGCTACACACAGAAGGTTCGAGACCGCTGCTGCTCCGCACAGGCTGCGTGCTGATGGCATGATATGTGCGCTTAACCATGCCCCCTGAGACGGCAAAAGCACTTCTGCTGCTGAAAGATAACCGTCCACACCACTGCCTCCCACAACATAGAGCACACCCTGCAAGCCTACCGCGGCACAGTTTCCCCGAGGAGTCAGCATGTCAGAATAAATCTGCCACTTTCCTTTCCCTGCATCAAAACACTCGACAGTCGCCAGGCGCTGCAGGTTGTCATCACTCCCGCCCACTACAAAGAGCCTCCGTCCGACAGCAGCTGCCGCACAGCCATGACGTGCTGTGGGCATCGCTGGAACAGGGATCCAAGAGCCGATTCCTGGGCACCAGACCTCAGCCACTTTAAGGGCATCCCCGAAGATGCCAATGCCGCCTACAACGCAAACGCCCACTGGGCATAGTGCCACCACTGCAGGAAGGCAGCTGCGATTCTGGTTGCAACCTTCTCTGCAAGTGCAAGCAAGCTGACAAAGTGCTTTTGGCCCAGCAGCGCAGCAAATTGCCAACAGAGACTCTTGAGCAAGCCTCGCATCCATGCTCACCATCCAATTGGGCACAACATTTTAGGACATTTTAGGGACAGACCTATCACTACATGTCAGGCAAAATCCTTGGGAATGATCTGCTCCAACTAGGGGTAGGAAGGATGGCTATGCTGATGTGGCATATTCAAGGGGGAGGTGGATCTTGAGCTGCTGCTACACTACTAAAGCTTCAGAGCTGACTAGCTACGGTGCTAGTTGCTTGACGATTCCCATTTGGCGTGGCAGAGGGGTCGTTGCAATTGGCAGTGGCCATCCTCAGTCCAGGACCTCTACCACTCCGCCATGTGAAAGCTTACCCTATATGCGCCAATCCCCCCAACAGCTGCGAAATGTTGATGCCAAGAACCTCACAACCGAAACCCCCAGTCGCCCGTTCCCCTGAAACCTCACCAGGAGAACTTTTCCGCATCATTTCAAGATGGCGGTGTCCTTGCTAGTTATCTTTCCCTCCCATTGTTCGGAAACCCTTTGTCCTGATGAGCCTATCGCAGCCCCGCGATGCCTGCAAACCTCTCTACCTGGTAGTGCCTCAAACAACCCCCTAGATAATCCGAATCTCCTCACTCCCAAATATGTCCCCCAGGTTCCTAGCGCCCCCCCAAACTCTAGAAAACCTGGATCGCTGTCTCTGTTTTTCTGTGCATGTGTCCTTAAGGCCTAAACACTAAATATGCCTACATAACCCCGTAATCGTCTTAAACTGTATGAAGAGTCACTTAATAGGCACACACACCAATACCGACCCCTAGGTACTAGAATCCTCATTATAAGGACCCCCCAAGAAGGTACCCCTAATTTTGGCAAAGCCCAAATCACTATAAATACCTTATAGAAACCCAGTGTCCATCTCATCTTCCTTTTCCCTAGCCATTTGATTCTCGATTGCTGGGGATTTAGCTCCGAACCCTGCGCCCTAAGCCCTAAACCTTCTACAAGACAATCCGTAATTGGAGGGTCAGGGGGACTTGGTAAGTAGGTTAATAACCCCTCCCATATAAACACCCCAATTATCCCCATTATTAACCTACTTATTAAGTCCGCCTGACCCCCCCTTACCCCCCAAACCCTAAACCCCAAACCCTAAACCCCAAACCCTAAACCCAATGCAATTCCCAGGTTCAACTCTCAAGCCTCATCTTCCAAGAAAGCTTCCGGAGAATCGGGAGGTGCCTCCACTTTTGCTCTGGCCCTGCAGAAAGTCTCAGGTCTCGGGTGGATTTTCAGGGTTTAGGGTTTTTAGGGCTTGGGGTTTAGGGCTAAACCCTAAACCCCTAAACCCGGGCTAGGTTTATTAGGGCTTAGGGAGAGGGGTGCTAGGAGCGAATGGTTGAGAACCCAGGCATTTTTACTGTCATCATTTGGTACTGTCAACATAACTGCTGCCATTATTGTTGCTTTGTATTGCTATTGCTGTTATTATACATATAGGGTTTTCGGCAACTAGGGCTATGGCCATTGCCCTCATACTAGGGTCGAGGGCCTTGCCCCCACAAGAGTTCGCGGCCAAACAGAAACGTACTGCATGTTTGGGTGGCTTGACGGTACGATGCGAAGGTCTCAGTGCTAATACTGTATGATCGGCTGGGAACCGTTGCTCCCAGCTTCGTCCTGAAAATGTAGGCCTATCAGCCCCTTCTAGCCCATATGACCGATGCAAACCTACCACCAAACCCCAACGCTATAAACCCTGTAAAGCCTATACACCCTATAAACCCCAAGCTCCCTACACCCTTCTCGTCATCTCAAAGTTCCTTGAATCTGCATACAGCGCATCTAATTTTCCTGAATTAAGGATGTCTCTGACCTTGTGCCCAGCTTTCTCTGATTTAAAGCTAGCTTCTGGCTAGTTTCTGTCTGAGGGGTGAGCAGAAGAAGCGATATCAGAAGTCCAGAAAATTTGTTCCACCAATGATCAAGCCCGATGAACTACACCAAAAGCCCCAGAGTAGCAGACCTAAACCCTTAACCCCCTGACACCAAAAGCCCCAGAGTGGCGTTGTCTATGCGCTCTCAAACACTGCTCAAGAACCTAGATAGAGATACTCAACACTCCCATTGTGGTATGCTCTAATAAATTGGGAATATTCAATATTAGGGGGGGGGCGGTGTAATGTTTGGGGGGAGGCCTAAACCCTGAACCCTACGCTCCTAAACCCAAAGCTCTAAAGCCTAAATCCTAGACCGCCTGCAGTTAGAGCTTGCCTGCTGTACTCTGGGCTCAAACACCAGCAAGCTCGGCCATCGAAGCAGGTAGACTGGTTCCTGGTCAGGTATACGTCGTATCAAAGGGGATATAGAGGTTAGATAGGGGTGTTGTAAAGTTGTATAGGGTTTAGGATT